GCTTAAGGGGAGCGGTGGACTTGTGTTTAAGGTGTCTGCCTCTCAACCCAGAGATTATGGGTTCGAACCCTACTCGGGTCACGACCATGTTTCTTCATATGACACCAGTACTGGTTAGTTCCAGGAAGCGGACTCGAAAGTGATTGAAATAACTTGCAAGAACTTGTCTCGCAATCGAGCTTAAATAAATATGCTTAAACCAAATTGGCATAGCGGTTTATAAGGAGATTTCATTAAAAGTAAAATTTTAGGAACGGACGACGGACGGACACCGGCCAATTGTGATCACAAAAGCTCACCATTTCATTTTTGTGACAGCTGAGCTAAAAAAAAAATGTAAAAAAACTAAACAAAAAGTTATCCAGTACCAGCTGTTTATGGTTATCAGTTGTTATTTTTTAATTAATGTATCATAATAAAACGTAATATTTGAGAAAACATTAATGTTGGTCATGAAAATTTTGAGCATCTGGGCCTCATTTCAGCTAATTAATATCGAAAAAATATATTTAAGAGCTTATGATTTAAATGAATTGACAAAAATTATGTTTATGCAAGATCTAAAAATAATCACTATTAACAAAATTTTGATTTAATGAATAAACAGATCTGTTGTTGTTTGGTGTTTTTTTTCGCGAATCGTGAATCGACGCAACACTGCGTGCTAGACTTACTGTTACACCGTCAAAAACCGAGGGAAAGTATGACAGACGGCATGCATTTAGATAGATCTAGCAGACGTCAAGTTAGTTTAGAACGATTCCGGTTACTGTATTTTGCCAGGCATTAGGGAAAGAATAATCAACAAATTGGTGTTAAAGTGGTAATTACAATTTCTTGTTAATGAAAAGTAGACTTAAAATATTTGAGATTTATTATGACCCTGGCTGCACTGCAAAATTAACACGTGAAAGCATATTTTTTTATGTTCTGTACAAATATACATTGGCATTCTTTTCTTTGGGAGGAAAACATGGAAATTGATTTTTTCATATCATTTAAGAATGGAAAATGTAATCTTTACAAATAACGCATCAGTCGGGTTATGTAAATATTTGTCAAAATTCTTCAAAGTGTGTCACAATCACATGCTTTGGGATGCCAATGGTTCAGTAGAATTATGACAGCAATAAAACTTATTCTACAGAGACAGACTATACTGATGAGACTGCTAAAAAAAGTTCATTTATATAAAAAAAAACTATAATGTAATAACACTATTTGACATTTTATATACTCGTTTGAAAAACTGGCCGTATTATAGTTTTCCCTGAGGCCGGCTGGCGGCGTCCAATTTTTGTCCGGAGTATATCTCCTACATGCATTGAGGAATTTTACTAAAACTTCATAGATATGTTCACCACATTGAAAACCCATGCTGTTTGTATGAACCAGGTCTCTATGTCAAAGGTCAAGGTCACACTTGAAGGTCATGAAAAACGCATGTCCGGAACAAAACTTCTACATGCATAGAGGAATTTCAATATAACTTGGCATAAATGTTTGAGTGTCATGTGCAAAATTTAGGTCCCTGAGGCCAAGGTCAAGGTCACACATAGGAGTCAAAGTTCAGATAAAAATATAAAAATGTGTATTTGGACCATTTAGTCATCATTTATTGAGGGATTGAAACAGAAATGGTCATTATCATGACTACTGGTGTGATTCATGTGATTAAGGTTAATATATGCAAGGTCAAGGTCACTAAAGATGATAATCAAGGTCACTGAAGATGATAAAATAAAGAGATTTTGACAAGTGCATATCTCCTACACATATGGAGGGATTCTAGTGAATCTTCATACAAATTTTCATCACTATGAGAAGCAGTGTCATGCGCATGAACTAGGTCAAAGGTCAAGGTCATACTTCAAAGTCATTGTAAAATACTTGTCTGGAGCAAAAATTCTACATGCATTGAGGGATTTCACTATAAAATGGCACAAATGTTCACCATTAAGAGGTGGAGTGTTGCATGCATAATTTAGGTCCCTGTGGCCAAGGTCAAGGTTACACATAGGGTTCAAAGTTCAGATAAAAATATGAAAATGTGTATTTGGACCATTTAGTCATCGTTTATTGAGGGATTGAAACACAAATAGTCAATATCATGACTACTGGTGTGAAATATGTAATTTAGGTTAATATAAGCAAGGTCAAGGTCACTAAAGATGATAGTTCAATGTCACTAAAGATGATAAAATATAGAGATTTTGTTGAGAGCATATCTCCTACACATATGGAGGGATTCTAATGAAATTTCATACAAAAATTAAAGGTTAAGGTTACACTGAGAGAGGTCATTTGGAGTCAAACTTCTACATTCATTAGGGGATTTTCATGTTACTTAATGTTCACTATTGTGAGACCCATTTTGCACATAATCCAGGTCACTGCTACTAAAGTCAAGGTTACATAGAGAGGTCAAAGTTTGTGTATTGGGATCATATACGAGGGGTGTCCCAGAATTACGTGGACTTTTGCTATAACTTTTTTATTTTTTAATGCATTTCTTAGCAAATTTGTACACAATACCTTTAACATATCCTTAATGAATATGTCCATTATTTTTAAATTTCTAACATTGCTTCTCTATATTTTACGTCGCTATAGTAACGCAGTATGCGCAGAGCGGGGCAGTCCAATATTTTGTATTAATAAGTTGTCTTTACTTTCGAATATCTTGCGTATTTATACGTAAAAAATGGCGCGACGTCGTAAGCATATGCAGTGACGTCATATGAACGTTCGTTTGAAATTTTGACGTCATAGCTGTTTCCGTTATTGTTTACCAGCGGACAACTGACAACAGTTGCTCTTGGATATTTAACAAAAAATGATATCCACGGATTACGCGGAACATCGGACTATCATCAAGTTTTGTGTTAATCTTGGGAAGACGCCAACACAGACGCAGGAAATGTTGGAGACTGCAAAAGTGAGACCTCCTGTTTGTCGATCACTCGTTTTCAAGTGGCATAAGCGTTTTCGAGACGGCCGAGAGGACATTGAAGACGACAAGGGTCGTGGGAGAAAGTCAACGTTGACTGCGGCGTCAATTAAGGAAGTCAAGGACGTCATAGATCGGGACAGGCGTTACACCAAGGTCAAAGCTGAGTACTATTCAAGGGTAAGCAATAATTTTGTGTTTAAAAAAATGATTTTTAAAAAATTAAGCTAATCACAATTTATTATTTTAAACGCAATTTATCCGCTTCAGCTTTTAAGAAGGTGAACTCGAACTGCTAAAATAAGCAGTGCGCATGATAGGTTATTTTCCTTGTTAACGCACATTGTCTTTGCGTACAAAATAAACTCCACAATAATAATAATGATGATGATGATGATGATGATGATGATGATGATGATGATGATGATGATGATGATAATGATGATAATAAAAATAATAATGATAAATAATAATTCGGCGTCAGCATTATCACCGTCGTCTTTAACACTATTATCGTAACAAAAGTTAATAGTATGCTTTATTATTATTATACAGGCGGTGTACGACCAGTGGATATATCGACACCATAGGTGTATTGAGTTAGGCGGCGACTATGTTGAGAAAAACTGACATTCGACGCCAAGCATTTATTAACAACTAGCGATGCCACCGGAATGACGTCGTAACGTCGGAATGGACTGCCCGCACCTGCTACCCCTTGTCTCATTACCCTGCCAACAGACACTGATCCAGTTGCCGGACAACTTTGAAATTTTTTGTACCAATGCAATAAAGTTGCATTTTGTTCATGTTAATTTTGTTTGTTTTTATTTTCAGTAGTTTTTGAGTTACAGCAAAAGTCCACGTAATTCTGGGACACCCCTCGTAGTTAACATTTATTGATGGATTGTAATAAAAATGATAACTATCATGACTACAAGTGTGACAAGTAATTAAGCTAAATTTTTGCAATGTCAAGGTCACTAGAGATGATAAAATATCCAGATATTTTCCGGATATTGCCCAGAGCATATCTCCTATATGCATTTCAATAATGCCAACATCTCTGTCAAAAGCTTTAGTGACTGGTGTATTTTGCCACAATGTTGCCCTTGTTGAAATTATTATGGACTTATTTGACTGTTTATGTACAAATGAGTCACAGGTACTAAAAATGTTATTTCTTTAGTCAATAATGAGTCCAAAATGTAAACAATTGTTAGTGTTAGAAACAGAAAAATGTCTCCAAAGCTGGGCCAGTAAACTATGAGCTTTGACCTAACAGGCGTGCCTGAGCTCTTTTTGAGGATATGCACAATGGTAAGGGGGTCCTGGGCATGCTCCCCCTGGAAAATTCTTGCACTTAGAATGCCGTAGATTTATTTTGGAGGGTATCTAGCACCCAGTCAATTCAAAACTATAGTTTAAAATGGATAAATATATTGTATTTTCCTTAAAGTGTAATACTTTTTTGATAATTACAGGTAAATGAAAGTTTTGTATGTTTGGGTGAGTTTTTATAAGTTATAGACTGTTAAATAATAAATCAAAATTAACAATTTTTTCAAATATGTATCGATTATTGATTGATTGAAAAATATCAATGATACATCGGTATAATCTCTGTCGATGACAGCTCTATGTCTTACACATTTGTTATTTAAAAATCCATCCAGGAATGATTACAGAATTCTTCACCAGATATTACCATTGATGTATTTTTATGAAAGTTCCTTTTAACTTAAGTCTAAGTGTGAACTTGACCCAGAAACTTAAATCTTGCAAGTGGTACATCATCTTAATGTGCTACACATTTCTCCTAAATTATTTCAAAAGCAATCCTTGAAAGTTAAGGACTGCAGTCAGATGGACAATTCAGACTGGCATAAAAATTGCAGAATCATGCATACAAATTAAAAAGAACCACTATGTGCTCAAAAAATTCTCTCTTTATTTTCATGGAAAATGTTTGAATGTCTACTCAAATTAAACTGACATTATTTTATTGATTATGAATTATTATATTTTATGTTTTTATTCCTATTTTAATGTTGTCCTATTAAAAGTATTTTTCCAAAAATTTCTAAAGAAATTGTCAAACAGTACACATCTCCATCAAGAGGGCATTAGATTTTTACTCCTCTTCCAATATAACAAGCATGACTAAAATCATTGACATAGATAACTGGTTATCTATGTCTCTGCTAAAATGTGTAACAGAATGCAATAGATGGCATCTTTGTTAGTCTTGGTTGATCTGTTTTTTGATTTTTCTTTTGCAGTACTTCTTACAAGAAACACATTGAGGTAGTTCTATTGTTTATCAACATGTTGCTGTTTCTGAGATTTTCCCCAATTAAGGAAGGAGAGCCAGCCCTTTGATTCTGGCTTTGATTCTGGCTTACTGGCACTGAAAAGAGAACAAAATGAGATGCTAGAAAAAAAATTAAAACAAATTCTCTTGCCCATAGTTTGGATGAAGAACTTATTCCTCTAAATAATACCTTGTTAGATTCAAATATATATCTGTCAAGGTTATTTGACTTGGCTACAAATATACGGTAATCCTCACTGTTATCATTGCCCAATCAAAAATTAGCAGCGACTTATAAATAATTAAAATACATGTTTAATGATTGTCCTATCAAAACTGATGTCACTAACATGCAGTATAATAAGTATGACTATGAGGGCTCTAAGTTAGTCTGTTGATTTTTGTTGTTTTTTGTCCTTAAACACATTGTTGAAAACACAAGACTTGTACAACAGGATTTTCATGTTAATCTGTCAACTAAAATAACCCATTTGGCCAAGGGTGAATGGAAGGGGGCTATTTTAATATACAGGCTGAAAATACAACAGATTTTAACAGGATTTAAGGAGATGATAGATTTCGCCAGTCTGTTAAAAATGAAAACCCTGCCGTATATCTAATATATTAAAGTGCTGGATGGATACTCTGACTATTGAAAGATAGTCACAAAGTGTGACGTAAAAAAAAGTCAGGTCAATTTATCCTGTCTAGAACCAGACAGTGTTTGCCTAATGATGGTAAATCTGATATTTATAGACGGATTTTGTAATAATTTAAGATAAATTTGCTAAGTATACTTTGTATGTTAAATAAAATGTTTACAGTTTATTAGTGACACTGGTTGGCTGTATATATATATTTTTTAAAATGTCCACAAACTTTTCAAACAGCCCTCGGCCCCTTGTATGATTATAATATATAGAGGACTATGAATCATCAATGAGAGTAGGTTCAATTGGACAAGTTGAGTAAATGTAATATATGCAAGCCTCTGGAAATTTAGTATTGAACAGTAACACAAGTATAATATTTTATTTATGATATACTGTTTAAAGTGCAAAAGAATCTTTTTTCATAGAGTAACGCTAACATTTAGCAGCACTTTACACAATGTTTATAGAGTAGCAAAATAAGCTGCTGCACATATGGCATATTTTTTCTGTTTAAATCAAAGTAGGCATTTTTGCAATATATTATCAATTCATTTTAATATAAAGATTTTCTACAGGTTATATAACCTTTCATAACACTGCATCACTTTTCATTGGATAATAGTGACAGTTATATATATTATAAGTGCTGCTGCTGTCAATTTATGAAGTAAGTAAGTTGATTATAACTAATAGTATTTTGGTTGGCACTGTATCTCTTTCCTTGTGGTTACAGTCATCTATACATAGAACTCCTTGTGCTGGGCTCATATAACCTGTCGAAAATCTATAACTAATAACATAACAAGGTGCTTGTGTTTGGCTCTTTTTTATCATTAATCTCTTCAAGACATATTTTGTTTCGATTATTTTGACTCAAATATCACCTCCAATAAATTTAATAGAATAAGTATAGTGTTTTACATTATGATGGTGGTGTTGTAAGTTTACCCTCCGTATCATGACAGTTAGCCATATTGAACTTACAAAAGCACAGTTCAGCCACCATATTGTTAACAAATACTAGCTACCTTCTCTTTCACAAGAAATTAAGCCTACAAGAAACTGATAGCTTCTGTACATGCCAGAGGAGAGTTACAGTGTGAATGGCAGTAGAAGACATTTCATGATCAATCACAACTAAAGTGACCTGCACTGTCTGGGAATCAAACCCAGGTCCCCTGATTAACAATCTAATGCTCTATCGGGCTAACTAAATGCCCTATCTACTGAGCTAACCAGAACGGTTTTTGTTTTACATATGATATCAGTAATTTATATTGAACTGTTAGAATCAGAACAAGTGATATTTCAGTAATAATATGATATTCTAACTTTTCTGAATTGATTAATTATATTGTCCATTATATGGGTATAAAATTATAAACAAAGGAAATTTAAGGAGCAAAGTGCTCTGTCAAAAAAAGGAAAATTATTTGTTGCTGTTTGTAATAACCATTTTGAGGAATGGGCACTGACCTGCTCAAATAGGAAATATTTGACATGTGATTTATATAGCTAAATGTAGAATGAAATGGGTTAAAACAAATTCATAAATTTATGATTTTAAATAATTATCTGGAAAAATAGAAATTTCTAAAATGTAGCAAGTCATAACACTTGCTTAATAGCAAAATTTTACTATATACAAATGTAATGAACTTAGTATAAAAGACGTTTTTTGATACATTGCAATTGAGCAAATATATTTCAATATTTAATAACTTTGGATGCAGCATGTAATGAGAATTTCAATGACCTAATTAAATCTGATTATATGTTTAATGTTAAAAGATGAGCCATATAAATTTATTAAATAATATACTCAAAAGGCAGTAACTATGATTGTGTTCAGACCATAATTTTATCATAGATTGTACAAAAATAAAGTTGCATGTAAAAAAGACTGGACATACTTTCCATCGGAAATGTTATCTAGCTCCTCCTCTTCACCTTCGTTATTATCCTCTGACTCCTTGTACTCTGAAATACATTGAACATTTTTATCAACTTTTTTTAACCTATACAGTATAGAGGGTGACTGACTTTAACATTACTAATTTTACATGCATACAGAGAAGAGTCTGGCTGTCACTGTGGGCCCATGCTTGATTTTTTCTTATTTCTAAAGTCAAACACAAAGGAGGAAGAATATTGTTGTCAAAAATACTCCTAAGAAACATAATTTTCTTGTACAAAGTATAATTTGAATTTGACATTTGACCTTGACAATCAAGGTCATTTACAGATTAATGTCATGCTTAAATTACTCAAGATGTTGGTTTTGTCATAAGTGTTGTTTTGTCCCAGTATGATCCATTACAATTAATAATAATTTATAAAAAAAGTTGCAACGCTTTTCTCTTAAACCAGGCAAAAAAACAACAATAATATGACCTTCAAGGTCAAGATCATTGATGAGTGAAGGTCACAATCAATTTGGTCTACTTAAAGGGCTTGTCTAAAGGATTGTGTCCAAGTATGAAAAAAATTCAAACATAAATAACAGTTTCAGCCAATAATAGCAAAAATGAAGCGAAATTCAAACATTTGACCATGAAGGTCAAGGTTTTTTATGATTCAAGATCAAGTTCAGTCGGGTTTACTTGAAGGTCTTGTCCAAAAGGTTGTTGTGTGTAAGTATGAAGACAATTCCATTTAGAAATGATAGTAATTAATGGCCAAAATTAAAGTTTTTCGGATATTTAGATGTCAGATGACATTGCTGTAGACTAAGCAATAGCTTGAATTTTTTTCTTTTAAAAAGTCTTATAGGGAAATATTAATGTCATGACTAACCTCCACACCAAACCTTAAGACTGTACACTCATTGTGTTTTAGAGAAGAATTATTTAAAATTATTTTCATGCATAAAGAAAACTCTGCATGGGTACTTTATCTTGGTAGCGAGTCATTAAATGATGCTTTAGACCAAATATCTAAGCAGAGTTTGCCAAAAAGAAGGGGCCCATGGAAAACCCGATTTAGTTCCAGACCCCTACTTCCCACCCATTTTCCCAATTGTGTCTTTCAGACAAATAGATTTTTATGATCTTGTGACCGACTTACTGTATACAAATACTGGAACCATTTGAACATTTTTGATAGGGGATAACACTAAGACTATTCCTGTAGTTTGGTTTATATCCAGTTATTGGTTTCAGAGGGCTTGTTTTATTTGCAAATAACGGACACATACGATATATATCAACCAACAAACATCAAACTATGCTGGACAGAGGGGGATCACTGTACCAAATATTGTAACAAAATTTTGTTTCTGGGGATAAAATTATTCAAATATTATACTGTGTAAAATTATTTTTGACAATGGATTATAAAGTCATCTCAGAGAGAAGATACAAAACTCCCACCTTTAACCATCAGACAATATTGAATAATTAATTTCTTCTACAACATGCCAATCAAAACTTGAAATCCAAGTGCCCTCACTGTCATGAATAAATAATAAGTGATTTTTTTATGTCTTGCTGAACTATTACTATGACAGGCTTGATAAAGTATGAAGAATTTTTAATGTAAAATTGCCTTAAAAAACTTCAAAACTAGTGCTGACATTAAAAACACAAACTTTTTAAAAAAAATATTACTGTTTCTTTTGACCAAAATGAATAAATCATAATCAAATGTCCAGTAACACAAAATAAAAATTTAATAAAAATAATCATCAAACACTGTTTTATGAATAACTTAAAATTATATTTTTGCAATTTTTGGTGATTTGTTTTAAATCAAATAACTTTTTTGACAGATTTCAATGTTTGTAAATACGAGTAAAAAGAAATCTTTTGACTACAAAAGGGGTAAAAAAAAAACTTTACCTGAACACCTTAATTCAAGTTACCCAGGCTGACAACAAATACAGAAAATCTGTCTAAAGGGGCACAACTCTATCAATAATGAGTTGATTGCAGCCAAATTGGAACTTGACCTGTGTTTTGATATAACATTCTTACAATCATTGAAAGCCTTTAAAAGTTAATCTGCTGAACCCAATTGTCTATTGACAAGTGGATAGACAATGCCCTACCATAATATGTCCCAACGTTTCTTTGGGCATGTAAAAAATAAAACTTAAGAAAAATACACCTATAGTTTAATGTATTGTGCAAAATGTGATTACTTTTATCAAAAAATTCTACCCCTTTACTGAGAGAAAAATCTGCATATTTCAACTTGCAGTTAATTTCTATGGATAATAAGTGCTTAAATGCTAAATTTAATTATTGAATTTGTACACTTGACAAAATTTTGATCATTTGAAAATTTTTCAAAGTTCATGTAAAAATGAACAGAAATCTGAAGGTGAACTAACATTGAATGGGCACTTCCAAACTTTTTAAGGCAGACAAGTATTTTATATATAATTAGTTTGAGTAACTAACTGTTCATTAATACACTTGTTACTATATATAGTAACAAAATTGCCTATGATTTCAACTGATTATGAGTGTCACGTGACCTATTATGAGTTTGCGGCCCGGGGCCGAGAACTAGTTATCAGCCCGCAGAACATGTGCACGTGCACAAACTGAAACAATGACGTCATATTTTACGTCATCAAACAGTTAACTGTAAAAGTGAAAGTAGGTTGTCAGCACTTATTGCTTTATTTTTATTATGAGAGCTTAAGCGTATTTAGTACAAACACATTTTTGTTACTATTGAAATTTGAAGAAATAATATGACAAATTCATTCCGAAAAAAAATGAAAATAAAACTTGCTTCTAGATTCTACTGCTTTCAACACACAAACAGTAAACATCTCTGTACAGAACAGTAGAAGAGTAGACAAGAATTTCAACGAAAGAACTTTGTTGTTGTATTTTTAAAAAAAAAAATGCTACTAGAATCTATTAGATCTACAAAGTGTATTAAAGACATTAATACACGTCAGAGTAGGGCCGGGAGGTGATACTCGGCCCTGAATGAATAATGGCCCTCGGGCTAAAGCCCTCGGGTCCATTATTCATTTTGCGGGCCGATTATCACCTTCCGGCCCTCTCCTGCCGTGTATTAACCTCTTAATAACTGTTAATATAGGAACATACCTTTTAACTCTTTCAGGTATTGTACGGCAATGAGTTTTTTCAATGGAATTGGTTTCCTTTTTTGAGATTGTTCAGCTTTGTCAAGTGCTTCTTTAATTGATAATCCCACCCATTCTGCTTCTGACTTCTGAAAATAGTAAATAATACTTAAATTAAACAAAACACTCTTGTAATTTTTGCAGTCTGGTTCTGTATATAAAGGGAAATAAATCATAAATTATCTTGTAAAAAGAGATATATATCAAGGGAGGTAAAACTTAAATAATGTCACAAGATTTATTAGAACAGTTACTTCCCTTTTTGACAACAAAATAATTTAAGTTTACAGGTCCTGTTTTAACTTTGGACTTACTGGTAGTTTAAAGAATGCTGTTTCTTGCACTTTTGTAAATCACTTAGAGATATTTCCTTAGTTAATGTGAGATATAGAATGTTTAATTCAGTTTTAATATTGATTTTTTTCACGACTGAATACCTGCAACTCTATTCATAACAAAAGTACATACATTTTATATTTAAGCAATGTAAGTGGATTTAAAAGACAATAATTCTGTGAAAATTTTGTAAAAATCCAGGTTCAAAACATCAAAAAATGTTTTTGATATGTTTGGATGAAAATGGGTAACTATTGTAATCCAGATGCACATCAATTGTTGACAGATAACGCTGTAACAATTCAGCCTCAGTCTATGCTATTCATATATTTCATACCATTTAGAATGTAAATGATTCCATATTTAGTGAAGGAAAATAAAACAATTGCTTACAAGCCTGTTTACAGAATTTTGGTGCCAATACATGGCCCAAAATGCCTATATATCAGATATTTTTGTTCATGTTGTTAAAACAGTCTTGAACATCTATCTATATAGTACTAGAACTATATGTACATGTTATATGAATGATGTTATATCCCATGTCTGAATTAAAAATTAAGCAAGATAAAATTGTTATTTAAATAATTGTTACAATAAGATTTTCATACTAAATTTTATTAAATAAATTACATATTACATAAGGTAGTTATATATACCTAAATACCATTAAAACTTTGTTTATAAATTAAAATTAATACTTAAAATTGTATGTCATTAAAACTCCATTTGTCTATCAATGATTATTATGGGTGCACAAAACCCCAAATTTCACATCCATAATGTAGCAGATAAGTATGGTACAGTGAATTACAGACATTGATGCAGTCATATGATAAGACATAAGAATGTCAACCCTGTTCTTTATGACAGCCTCAGGTAAACAACTACTTGTCAAGAATAAAGAGAAGATTTTGTACTTTATATTTGAAATCATGTATTTCTGAGGCCCTGGGGTAACATTTTAGACATTTTTGTGAATTTATGATTTTTTCTTTATCACTAAAAATTTTTTTTTAAAAAAAATTTTTTTATTTTTAAATTTTAGGGGGGTTTTGGTTTTTTCCTTTTCCCTTTGATAAAACAAAACAGGTTCCGAAAAAGGGGGTTAAAATGCAGAATTCCCAGAGGTTTTTGGAATGAAACTGTGTGGCTGTGTATGTGAAAAATAAGTGATCGGAATAATTCATGGAAAAAACTTTTTTCTGCTTGAGAGGTTGGTCCCTTTTTTTTCATTTTAACTTTCCTATAAAAATGAAAAGTTAAACAAATTTTAAAATAAAATTTGAAAAAATTTCCGGTTGTTTAAATTAAATTTAATTTGTTTTTTTAAACATTTAATAACTTCCCCTTGACACCGTTCCTGTTTTTTGGTTTTTGTTTCTGTTTAAAAAAAAATTTAAATTTTTGGGTTAAATTAAATAATTACCAAGGAAATTTCATAATTTATTTTTGGGAAAAAAAATTTTTATTAACCCTTTTTTAAATTTTGGAAAAATATTAAAACCCCTTGGGAAAAAAAAAATGTTAAAGTTTTATTTTTAAAAAATTTTGTTGGGAATTTTCTTTACCCAAATTTTGGGAAAAAATTTTCAAAAATTTTTTTAAAATTATTTTTTAAAAAGGAAATTTAAAAAAGAAAAAATTTTCAAAATTTATTTTTTAATTTTTAAAATTATTTGAAAAAAAGGAAAATTTTTTGAAATTTAAAAATGGAATTTTTTCCCCCCTTTTTCATAAAAAACCCGAAAAAAAATTTTTTAAAGGGAGTTAAACCTTTTTCAAAAAAAAAACAAAAAAAATTTAAAAAAAATTTTATTTTTTCCCTTGTAAATTTAACCCTATTTTTTTTAGAATTTATTTTTTTTTTCCAAGATTAAATTTAAAAAATTAAATTTGGTTTAAAACAAAACCTTTCTTACCCATATAATCATTTAATTAAAGAATTACTGGGAAACAGGATAACATTCTCTGAATTTCTATAAAGCAAAAATCCAAAAATCCCCCCAACAACATGATATTTCAACTTAGTTGGTCTTATTTGGACTTACTATTCCTTGTCAGATGTATCTTAAATATACTACATGTTTAGCGGAAAAATTTTGTGGGTTAAATCTGGGTTTGCATTAATACATTTTCTAATAAACTTAAGATTTACTTTTTTTTTTTTTTTTTTTTATATAATAACTTTAAATAGCATGCTATTGAATTAATTAATTATTCTATTGTTTGATGATATTCTCATACCTTTGGGTATATAATTAATCGGTGCAGAAATGAAACATGAAAAACTTAATAAATAACTTTACTTACACAGTTAATTGATGTGAACTTTACATATTAAGATAATCATAAGAATATTAAAAATGTTTTGGAATAATTTGTTTTATTTCCAAGACTCTCGGAACGCAGTTTTAAAAAAAAGAATTAAAAGAATTAAAATGCATATAATTTTTTTACCTGTTTAACTAATAACTTGTCAAAAAGTCTTAATAAAAACAAATTTATGACACATGAGCTTTTATACCATTGATGAGCTCCTCATTCCTTTTCTTTTTCATGATAACATGAAAACATGATAACAACTACTAGCCCATTGATAGTCCTTTTTAATTTGCGGAGAGGGAGGACCGAGGACCGTGTGTGTAATAATCCATCAATCATAAAGTCCAGCCACCTCTGACGGCCATTAGTGTCCAGTTGATCAAAAAATCAAACTGTAGGGGTAATTGATACAAAATTTGTTAAGGTTTGATCACTTTTATTCATTATTTAGACACTGTCAATTATGAGCGTATTGATGATAATAGGGTAACTCTGATATAGGATGTCCGAGGCAGTGATCAAAGGATGCATTGAAAGGAAAATCTGTTTATAATTCTGGTACTGTTTTTTAAAGATATTTTTTTTTAGGTTTTAATAGTAAAGACAGCGATGAAGGTATCTTCTCAGACGGTGTTAATTATTGATTGTGGACAATGATCTTAATTCATGTCTGACGCCACAGGTGATAGTGAAATTAAAGAGATAAAACTTTCTCATGATTTAATACTACATTCTCCGACTTGTTATTTAGAACATCAACCTGTACAGAGTGGTACTTAAATATTTTTGTTTCTTCAGAAAATACATAAATTATATTTAAATTATTTCTACATTACCCCCATCCCATCCTCCTACCTTAAAAAAACACCACATGTTACATTTATGATGTATGTAATCAAGATTTATCTAAATCTTGGTCAATATTTGTTCGGAACATGAAACATGTTTAAATTTTTCCGTTCTCCCTCTGTTCTATTTGAGAGTATTTTATCACAAAATTAAAAGTTAATAATAAGACTGTAAACAGATTTCCATGAAATCAATTAGAAATGCAACAGATGACTAGCAAATTCCCTCGGTATTTTGTATTCCAAATTTGGAGACTGAAACATCTGTTTAACATGTCTTATAATGGACGTGCACACATTTCTCTTGTCATGGTATTCCATAAATACACCTATGCCCTTCACAAAATTTTATTTTTGGACAGCAATTTTTAGAAAATCATTAAGCAATGGTGTTAATAATAAAAGCTGGACTGATAATTATTTGAAGCCCCCTACCCCCTTTGTAAACATGTGTGGAGAAATATTACCTGATATTACAAGTGTCATTAAAGCTGCTGACTTTATAATGACTTTGACTCTCTTGGAACTGAATAGAGTTGCCAGTTTATTTATAACAATAACTTGAAAGCAAGAGCATTTTGTGACAATTGCTGAGGTATTTTTACATGACGTCACTCGAAATAATTTTCAAGAATAATTTTCCATTTTATGTAGGTATAGACAAGTAACTTTTGTGCAAAAACTGTGTTTTTCCAGAATGATTATTCTAATTATACAATAGTGAAAAAAAGACCCTGGAAGTTGAAAAGCGTTGTTCAGTGCTAATGACGATTTTCACTCAATTCAGGCTAAGAGTAGAAGAAAATAATGATTTTCAATGTATTTCTGGGTATATTTCTTACTTATATTTTGCATATCTTTCAGTTTAAAATGCCCCAGCTGATCTATGTAGGAAATTAAAAATTTATGTTTTAGGCTTTTGGACCACAGTGGAGTTCCTCTAAGAGTATATAAGAGATACCCAATTTTACAAGGCTACAAATGTAAACTTCTATAGAGTTGAAGAATAGCTTTTCACAATTAGTTTAACAACTTAACTACAGTCTGACTGTCACCATCTTGAAATCTTAAAAGAGGACTTTGTCACCTTTAATATTACATGCAAAATCATACATAAAAGTAGGATAAACCTAGGATACCGAAGTGGGAACAACACTGAATAAATGGGTTGGTCCAACATAAACATTACAACAAATTTTTTCCTAAATTCCCTCTATGAATAACTGAGATGAATTTTTCCACCGACTGTGTTAAGTAGTGTTGGAATTTATCAATCCAATCTCATATGTCTGCATCACTTCAATACATGAATAAAATGAACCTCCAATTTTTAATATCAGAATAAAATAGTTTATTCATTCCCTATAAATGGAAAGAATTAAAAATTTGAAATAATAATCTTATTTCAAGCTATCTCAGCATGATGTAGACATTTTTTTAATCTTTGACGCATGATCGTCTGGCGTAAAACTTGTCAGTCACTTTCTGTCCAATTTTCTATCCTGTTTTAATGGTCATTGTTACTTAAAAGCCATTTAATTGTTCGTTTTCAACTTTGGTTTCATTTAAGTATCAATATG